TTTTGCACAAACAAAAACTGTTTCACAATATCTTGAATCCTGATGTCAGAAAATTGGCTAAACATTTGCACTTTATTTGCTCTTTGTTACAAAGTTAAACTTTCGTTCTTGTGATGATTCTTCATTATGGTTGTCATAGCAACCTTATCTCAAAAGACCATTATAGGGAACACACGCTTCTTGAATGTTATCAAACTTCAGCATTCACCGAAACTTCCAAAGTAATCTATTCTGTAGAAACTGATTGATGACATTTATTAACTTCGAATATTTTTTCCCCTTTGTTTGATTGTTTAATGATGAGTCTCATTTGATTTGCATTTGCATCATTATGATATAATCTACATGTTTCAATTATTACAATGATTGGTACTTGTAGTTTGAGCCAATGTGTGTCACCAAAGTAAAAATCCAGATGTTTCTGGTTTGACGATAGAAACTGAACTGTAGGTTTTTGTTTGGCGTTTGGAATATTAAGTACGTAATATTTTCAAAGTGGGCTTATAAAACACATAGTATATTACGTCTGCAGTTTGTGTGTGTGTGTGCCGCAGAAAAGAAATGTACAACCAGGGACAATCCAAGGTAAATGCTATTATGCAGATTTACGTCCGCTTAATCTATCATCCTGTCATATTATAAATTATTTCTGTGACTTTTTTCATTGATACATTCAAACCAAGCCAAGTTTTTTTATAACTTTTATAAATAACGTGTTAAGCCGTGCTATGTAATCTTTCATAGCTGTGTGCTTGATGCTTTCTTCTACTTCTAAGTACAGTATTTGCATGCATACATGACTTAATATAGCTAATATATAACCAAATAGTGGTATATACTGGGAGGAATTGTTCCAAGAGATGGTTAAAAGAGCCATCATTATATTTTCACGTGCAACTTTGCACGTTTCGTGTTAACTCATAAACATACTCATCTTACAGAAGACAGTAATACTTTTAGTTGGGTATGTCAAAAGTTTAGGCGAACATCTGAGCCAGATCGGTCAAGCAATTGAAAATTGGAGCTCGTTAAATCAAAGATTAGAGTCGTAAATAACAGTGGTTATTTCAATATTCCATCATTTTTCTCAAAGTAGATTAGAGAAGTAAAAGCCTTCGTTCGTTCTGGTTGCAAAAAATTGCTGTTGTTGATACTTTCAGAACTGGTAATTTGAGTTTTTATGAGAATATAAACCCAACTGTACGATATATATATATGTGTGTGTGTGTGTGTGTTTTAGCAGTAGCAAAGTTATGTCTTCTTATAAGACCATTTGTAAGTTTTACTTTTTAATGAACATTATTAATGTAACATGCCCACTCATTTTATGAATACTTACAACTTTACACAAAGACAATTTTATAGAATGCCAAAGTAAGTAAGAATCTTTATATGCTATAAACTTTTCGACACAACATATCCTATTTATAGTCGGGTTAGCAATTTTTTAAACTTTTTTTTTAGCAAATCATTATCGACCAGTAACTGTTCAGCCGGCTTTTACATCAAATGTTTAAATTCTTCCATTTCACTGCATGGATAAGAATCAAAACTGATTACACTCTAGATAAGCAACCAGTTAAGATGTATGAACCAATGTTTATGACTAGTCCCAGTTTGTATGAAGTTAAGCACAAAGCTACACAATGGGCTATCTGTGCTCTGCCCACCACGAGTATCGAAACCCGCTTTCTAGCGTTGTAAGTCCGCATACATGCCGCTGTGCCATTGGGGGGCGACTTCTCCCACTTTTCCTGTTTCTTCTCTTTACTTATCCTTACTACATGCGGAAACCCAAAGAAGCTGTGTTTTATAATTAGTTGCAGTTTGAGGTATTCGACTGAAAATTTAACTGGCATAGATTTTTGAACTGTGCGAGAGAAGACGTCACTTCCGGTTATATACGACTTAGTTTTCTATTTATCACCAGCCTTATGATAATATTTCCTATTTGCATCTTTTACTGTTATACTTTTAGTATTGACATTTTCATCTCTTGACCATACTATATGTACAAAATTTTTAATAAGTGTATATATTTTAGGTCACATTAAAACAACAGAATTACAAACCTAAAGTTACGAAGGGTTTTCAGGGCGGCCGTGTATATATAAAATATTAATAATTTTATAGTTTTTAAACAAACAAAAAAAAAACATGCAAATTCCATTGACAGTTACGTCATATGGTTCTTTTTATAAATTCATTATTTTAGTATCGAGGTTTGTAAATATAATGTAAGTTGGGAGGCGAGTGTGAAGACCAGTAAAAGGGGGTCGTGATAAATAAATGTTTGAAATGCCTTTTTCTAATGTCTTAACAGTTTCAACTGGTGCTTCTTAATTTTGGTGGGGTAAAAAGATTTTATTTTGAGTACTTATTTCGCACCTTTTTGTAAGACTACATTTGTACGACTAAACAATAACTAACACGTAATTTATATTTGATTTACCCCCTCAATGGCACAGCGGCCAGTCTGCGGACTTAAACGCTAGAATCTGGATTTCGATACCCGTGGTGTGCACAGCACAGATAGCCCAAATTGTAGCTTTGGGTTTAACTAGAAATAAACCTTTGATTTACCATAGTATCTGTGTTTGAATAACATTTCTGGCTGACTTTAAGGGTTATGTTTAAGAATCTTTCATATATGCTCTAATCATATATATTGTTTTCATTTTGTAGTTAAGGTCAACATAATGTGCACAATCACAGGAGTTACGCACTCTGTAACGCTGGCAGTTTAGTGCGCTGCATCTCTAGTTGCTTCGCACAAAATTTATGAAGAATGTTGTAAAATATATTTTCGATTTTCGAGAATTTTTCAATTGTATAACTGTGTTGATGAAAATGACCAAATCTTTTATTCTGTTAACATTTTGATACAGTATTTTACAGCTTCTTAAACATTTTGTTGAAACCCAATATATAATCTTCAGTATGTGTATATTATCAAGTTTTTCTGTTTTCATCATATATACTTAAAATACCAAAAAAACGTTTACATTGAATTTAACAAAGTTCAGCACTAACGATAAAGACGGTAGTGACTGGTAGCAACCTCCCCCCCCCAACTACCCACAAAAAAGTAAGTTTACTTCATCTGCCTACACTGGTGATTAACAAGTTAAACAGTTTTACAGTAGAACTTATGTTACAGTAACGCATAAAATGTCTGATGATTTTGGTAGTTGTTTTAATCAGTTATAATGCATGACAAATCACCTTAGTTTTTCCTATACCGATTTCTGACAGATTTTATGAATCCGAGATAAAGGGGCATGGCATGGCCAGGTGGTTAGGGCACTCGACTCGCAATCTGTGGGTCGCGGGTTCGAATCACACCAAACATGCTCGCCCTTTCAGTTGTGGGGGCGTTATAATGTGACGGTCAATCCCACTATTCGTTGGTAAAAGAGTAGCCCAAGAGTTGGCGGTGATGACTAGCTGCCTTCCCTCTAGTCTTACACTGCTAAATTAGGGACGGCTAGCGCAGATAGCCCTCGTGTAGCTTTGCGCGAAATCCATAACAAACAAACAAACCGAGATAAAAGACGTGACCTAGAACCGAAGGATAGTTATGCCTTTCATGCTGTTTAAAAATAAATAAATTATATTAACTAACCAGCTAAAAATGACCAAGTGTTCTGTAAATATTATAAGATGTAAAATATAATTTACGAATATTTTAATGAACAAGATGTAAAAGCTAGATAGTAGCCAGTCAGAAAAAACTCGCTGTTGTTCTTACTTGCTCAGGTTCGATGTAAGAATAATTACATATGTAAACAAAAAAAACATAGCATGCTTATTATAAATAACATTATTTTTCTGAAACGTTAACTTTGTATAAAAGTTTAGTACAGGTAAAAGAATTATTTGTTTGTTATTAAGCACAAAGCTATACAATGAGCTATCTGTGCTTTGCCTACCACTGGTATCAAAACCCAATTTTTAGCATTATAAGTCCATAGACTTAACGCCGAGCCACCGTGGGGCGTGAAATTTTTTTGTTGTTTTTGTTTGTTATTAAGCACAAAGGGCTATCTGTGCTCTGTCCACCATAGGTATCGAAGCCCGGTTTCTAGCAGTAAAAGTCAGCAGACATACCACTGTAGAATTGTAGTAGAGCTTTGTATAATTTTGCAATTAACATATCGCCAGTTAGGATTTACCAAAAAAAAATTTAAATGTAGTACTTTTCATGGCAATTTATAGAATAAGCTAATAACCTGTTTGTTGATTACAGGTTCTAACAAACAAACTAAAATATTATTCTGTGATTGTCAAGAATTCTTATACTACATAATTAATTATTTCAGAAAAATTTGGTTGAGGAAGTATATACATATTTAAGAATTTATTATTTATGAAATAAGCCTGCAGATAGAGAACTCGTGATGGTAGACCGGTACAATTGTAGTTACCACAGTTGTTAACTTAATCGGTTTAACATATTAGTTTACCGTCACGGTAAGCTCCGTTTGATCATCTTTTCAATAAATTACAAATTCTTGGACTAAACCATATATGTGTGTGTCTGCTTTTTATTTTCTTCTTTTTTTCAAAAGGTCTATCACTACGCTAGCCACGTGTTACCTAATTTTTTAAGATCAGTAGTATTTTACAAAGCACATCTTTGGGTATTTTATTCATTTTTTCAAAAGGTTTATCACTACGCTAGCCACGTGTTACCTAATTTTTTAAGATCAGTAGTATTTTACAAAGCACATCTTTGGGTATTTTATTCATTTTTGTGATAATTAATCTATATTGGGTCATTTTGTTCTTTTATAAGTTTTGTTTTAGCACAGTCTTAGCACGCTGTTTTTAATTTAATTTGTAAGTATTTTTAGCATAACGTACGTACCATTAAATGTAAGAAGTACAAAAATGATATACAGTGGATCAAATTGCATGCTATTTTCATTAAAATGTTTCTTATTTTCGTTTTCCCCTTCTAATTTTATCATTTTATATCTTCCATCCTTGGTATATAGGAATATTAAGTCATGCCAACAACGCCTGTTACACAAAATTGGGTAAGTTTTCTCAAATCTACATTATATTTTTCTTACACGTAACACTACTAATCCATAATGTTGTACGTCTAAATTAGTTACAGTGGTAACGTGTTCCACCTGCATATCGCCTCTCTAAAAATGTTACAATGTCTCCTTTCATTTTGACTTTTTTCACACAAAAAATATTTTTTAACTGTCTCCAATCATACTGATTGTTTTTTCTCCAAGTTAAAAAGAGCAGACCTGGCTGTCACTGTATAAAAAATGTCTCCATGTTGATTTTTTTCGTCTCTACATAACCTGTATCTATCAATCTCAATCTGCTTGGTTATTATTCTTACAGACATCTCACCACTCATCCCGTCTTCAATTTCATCACTTTGGTATTGACTGAACATTATTACAACATATAGTTGCAGTTTGCATCTTCCTGCTGATCTAATCTTCCTAGGTAGTACAGAGTGTATTCTATGATCGGAAGTCACGAATCGACTCTGGCATTCTGAGCAACTCCTACCTTGCATCCAATATTAGTACACTTGCTAATTATTGAAACATTGCCATTAATCATTTCTGATGAGTTATTATTTTTTGTGTTATTCAGCTTATGATAAGTCTTTGTTTTTGCACCCTCTGGATGAATGAACGTGATCTAGAACCGGGGTGGTGGTTATGTAGTAAAGGGTGAATACAAGGGAATGCTTCTATAACCTGCATCATACATACACTGTTAATTAAAAACTCTTTGATGTTTTTGATATGCTATCTCTAGTATTCAGCCGTTGTCTTGATGTCTACTGTATGTAAAAATCGTAATATATTTCTTCCTATTAACCTGCCATGTTGTCGACCTGATGTCATCTTATCATGTTGAACTGATATAACAAGCCATCTCTTTACTGACTTGCTAACACTAGTTATCACCCTATTGTCTTTTGTCATCAGTGATTATCTTGGTGACCTTATCTTCACCCATCACCATGTTGGCCTGCTATCTTTAACATAGATTTGTCCTTTCTGTCGGCCATCACCGTGTGGTCTGCTTTCACAATATTTCACCATGCTGATTTTCAGAGGAGCCACTGCTTGTTCACTAGTAATAACTGCTTTCAGATGTTGTGACATGCTATTACCCTACTAACCTTCCTACCAATCAACATCTTGTTCACTACTGTGACATGCTATTACCCTACTAACCTTCCTACCAATCAACATCTTGTTCACTACTGTGACATACTATTACCCTACTAACCTTCCTACCAATCAACATCTTGTTCACTGCTGTGACATGCTATTACTCTACTAACCTTCTTACCCATCAACACCTGGTTCACTGCTGTGATAAACTATTACCCTACTAACCTTCTCACCATGTTGACCTGTTATCACAAACCATCTTCGAGTACCCTGATGCCAATATCACTCTGTTGACCTGTTGTTACGGTCAATGAGCTTGTTGACTTTCTCATGAATCGTTACTGTACTGACCAACTGTGACTCTGCTGTCCTGTTTTAACTAGCTTTCATCTTGCTAGCATTTTTCACTAACCTTCACTTAGCCTCCTATAGTCTCTTTATATAAGTATGTTAAAGATTTATTTTATTTTCCACCTTTGGATTTAAAAGTTTTTTTATTAAATGGTAACGTTTTATGTCTTTTTGTTCGCATTTCTATTTCAATAAACTTTTCTGGCGAAACTTATTTTTTAAAAATATAGTTATTATTTTAGATATTCTGATTTATTTCGACAGTTAAGTATGAAACTCGATTCCTTGCAGAAAGTTATAGGCTAAGAGTAAGCTTCTTGGAAGCGTACGTAATGAAGTCTTATATATCTCTGTTTAATGTTAGTATTTGTCGTAATTTTTCAAAACTTAAAAACGTATTTTCTAAAATAAGCCATCTCAATCAAATAATCTCTTAATAGCATAAGATCTGAAATTAAAAAAATAATCAAAATGGTTTTTAATGTTGTTCAAAACTAAAAAAAATTCTAAAGCTGAAAAGGCAAACGTTTGATTAAATTCAATAAATTTCCCTTATATCCACGTGAACTGAAAATCGATGTAACAATGTGTACGTCCTGCCTGATTAAGAAAACGAAGTTAAAAGCAATATTAGAAAATAAGTCTACATTTATAATGCACAAAAAAATTATAAAACAAACAAACCTGAAAGTACTGGTAAAAAAACAACAACTTTGACTGAAACAATTAAACAGTGGAGAAGATGTTGGTTATAGATTGCTAAGAAAGTAGCACTCGTTAGTTATGAAAGAAACAGTAAAGGAGTTTCATTGTTCTTCGGTAACGTTGTTTTCATGGAGTATAACTCCTCATTTGGTCATGACACTATTGCTGATCCCAAACTTTAGTGTTTAGAAAACCTCACTACACTGATGTTTAATTCATGAAACATGGGAAGCCGTTTCCAACGTTTGTCTGAACGGTTTATCACCAATTGTGTGGTTTAAGTCTTGATGAGAAGCGTTGTCAGACAGATAAAGATGAATACGTCGCTTGTCTTCCTGCGGAGTAGATGACGTTTTTCTGGTATGTTAGAATAACTCTGACACAACAGTTCTCTTTGTGACGTACTGCTGGCGACTTCAATATCATTAGACGTAGTGCAATCGGTTGTTGGCTTGGGATATTGTCATGTTTTCTGAACAGTACCATATATCAATCCAGAGTTTAATCAGTAAAATGTCTTCTGAGATTAGTTGTTTTGAGTTTTGTAACTTTCTAGAAACACTCTTTGGTTTTGTTTTCACACGTTACTCATATAGCTCTTAACCATTGTTTCTACACCCAAATCGTTCTGTAGACGGTTAGCATATGGGAAGTATATTGTTTCAAAGATAAACAAAACGCGTTTGAAAGAACTTTTTATCAGATCCATAAGGTAATAAACAAGAATGTACATAGTATAAAATTGTATATTTCTGCGGTAAAAATAGTGGATGTATAAATATATATGGAACTTAAGAGATTAAAAGCGCATTTTTAACTATAAGGCAAAAAAATAGGTAAAGCCATTTCTTTCTCAAAATCAAATGCTCATAATGGAAATATAATCAGCTATCATTTATCAACAGTTAACCTTATCAATAAACTTAAATGTTTTAAAAACCATGACTGAGGTGAAATACGTTGATCAAAACATTAGGCTTCTCATTAAACGAACACTTTATGTCAACGTTTCTCATATGGTTTCGTGCGCGCTCCCCTGTTTATTTATGAAAGAGTGCGTTAGGTGGCAATATATAATACATGGATACACATTAAATACTATATGAATTGTAGTAATTACTTATTATTTTCACTAATAAAAAATATATTAGAACGCTTAATTTTGCATTATTGCACTACTGATTCTAACCTGATCGCTCTTGCACCCAATATATCTTTTCCACCACCTAGGGGTGCCCCACACGTTGAATAATGCTGCTTTATCTATTACGCGAGCCAAATGATCTAACGACTGTGTTGGAAGGTTTACTACAATGTGCGATTTTGAGTAAAATACAAAGTTGTTCCGCCGAAACACTGTCCAGAATTTCTCCTTACGTACTATGTAGTTCCATTTCTTATGATGAATGGAGTTACCTATACACTCCAAAACTAAAGATGAAGTACACTCAAGTAAATGGTATTATCAGAAAATGTTAACAAAGTAATCTTTAAACTACCAGCTTAACCCTACGGAATGACTTTACACCTGTTCACCGTAAAGAACCTATAGATGTTTCCATAAGAAAATTATGTAACTTATCAGTTTCTTATTTTTCGTATACTTCTAACATTAAAACCAGAACTGAGCTGATTTTCGCTTATCCGTGACTTTTCCTTAAACGATAATTCATTAATGTCCTTTTCGTCTCATACGTACTTTTGTTGCCTTCTAATGCGAACTTTTGGAAAAATAAATCTAAAAAGAAGTTGATTTACATGTGATCATGAAATATAGAAACAGTCTCTCTTGTGCACTGTGAAAATACCAAGTATGGTAGAAACATTCAACTCATATTTTTCAGCACTGTAAAAACTTAAGACTAGAATAAATAAACTCACTCACCTAGGCTTCAGGAATTAAATCTCGCTTAAATGAATTAGAAATTAACGCTTTCAACTAGGCTAGATTGCATAAAACTAACCAACGTACTTACGCTAAAAAAATCAAAAACAAGCCTATTCATTAAGGCTAGGTGACTCCAAAATTGTCCCGTATATCCAGATACAGACTAGGTGAATTAAAACGTAGCATGCTCAACCAGATTAGCTTACGCTTGAAAATTAATCAGTTTATCTGTGCTAGATTAATAAAGAACTAATATGCCTAACCAGACATGATCTCTTAAGAACTAACCGACTTTATCAAAGCCAGTGGTGCAAACATTTCTATGGCGTCCCCCTTTCTAAACATGAGTTTTGTTGCCTTTCCCCACACCCTGTGTAAAAATAAAACAAGTCTTAAAAGGGTAGGTAGTATAAGGCAAATAGTTTCAGTTTACTCACCAATCTAGTGTGAAGGATGGACTTGAGCTTGGGATAAGCTGAGGTCCAATCGTGGCTGAACTGTTGCCACAGCAACTCGGAGATCCCCTCTACCTGCAGACGAGATCGCTTTTTTGTTTTAATTGCTGCCAAGTACAGGTATGTTATTGTTTGTTTGTTTGTTTGTTTTA